ACGAACTCGGAAACCTGTAGTTAGGCGATCTTGGCCTACAACTTCATCCAAAGCAAGGCACCGGTGAAATCTTTGCTTTTCCTGGGGGCCGGAGGGAAGCTTGACGTTCACGGGCTCTCGCTGCCACATAGAACTCTCAAGTTGTTACCGAAGAACAGTCTAGGCGCGCTTCCAAAGTAACACGATCCACAACAGAATGTAGCATCTCGCAGTTTTGGTTGATCACATCACAGCGCTAGGACTATGGTTATCACAAAAAGGAGAAGTGACGACTTGACAAACAAAAGCGCCAAGCTGCCCCACCACAACTTCGCAGGGCAAAACAGTTATCAACGCTGTCTTTCAATTTTCGGTCACACGAGCACAGCTTGCTCACAAGTCTTGGAACGTCAGCACAGCACCACTGTTCACAACAAACATCGTTTCACTCCCGAACATTGCTCCCGAACATTGCTCTCAAGTAAATAGAAGCGTACGGGCTAACTAGTGGCGAAGCAAGAACCGAGCGCGTAGTTCATACGTTTCCGTACGTACTTGTGGTCACTGAAGTAACGTGTCAAAACGCTGTCAATCCGAAATGTCGCACAGACCCAACTGAGAGACTGGAAAGTCAAGCGAACGAACTGTTACCGGCACACAAACACACATTGCAGGCTTCTCGAGTGCTAGTTGCCGTCGATACATCGACACCGATCCCCGCTTGATAACCACACCGACGCACAGGCTTCGCTGCGCTTCACCGTACACCATTGCACTGCCACAGCTTTCCGCACTGCTTACACGCACCGAAAGAGCTGCTGTAATCACAACACATCCGGTCAAACGCTGAAGTAACTCGTGCGAGAAGCGTTTGCTGAAAGTCGCACCGACCGATATGCTTTTACGACGCCATGTTGTTTTCGACAACTGCGCAGCACATAAGAGAGCTCTTAGAAAGTACTTGCACTATTTTCACGGCGTGAAAAAATTTTCTCTTATGTGCGAGGGGGGTGATATGACGAACAGGACAGGCGTGCCAGATGAAAGAAGTGTTTTGGCAACGTCACGGAGTGAGCTGATGTAGAGGGTATTGCTTCACAACCAATCACAAGCTGTGCCTGTCGGCCAAGCCGTCGTCTGCTCGCGTTTGTCGTCTGCTTCGATCAGAGCATGCGACAGGGGATTCGCCTTCGCAACGCTGTTATTCTCAGGTCAAGTGGTCGCTGCGTTGCACAAAATACATGTCAGTGGCTCGCTCTACCTTTGCATGATGTTCGTGCGCCAAGTTAAATGGCTGGTAATTGACGCAGGGATGAATTCCGCCAAGGGTTGCTCCAGAATCGGGAGAGTTTGCATATTTTCGGTGTCATACAAAGTTACTAGGGTCATTTCATTCCGATTGCTTGCCATATTATCACGGTCCATATCGGTGTCTGAACAGTGAAGGTGAAGATGCACGATTTGTTTGTAGTTCCATGCGTAATCACGCGCACCCCTAATACGCTTTGGTTTACAAAGTACGCTTTGTTCCAGATCGTCCCAAAGTGTATCGACAGCTGTATTTCAGAGATCGCAACCATTGGACAGTTAGAGCCAATGAAAGTACACTAGAGCACAAACTTTATGAAGCACTCACTGAAAACTTCCTCTCATGTTTATTTCCAATAGCGTGCAAACAATGTGCTCCCATCAACCTCTTTGGTGGTAATTTCCACCAATGAGGCAAGGATCTCGAGTCGCACTTTTAATTTGGATGAGATGGGGCGCAACACAACAACATAACAAATAAGGTTGATCCTATGCCATGCCACGTTCGAATGCACCGACCATTCACGTATCACATTGGTTTTCATCCAACCACAAATCTTTACATGCGTAGTTTTATGCCATTGACGCCCAATAGAATTCTTCAATTACTGCGACTTCGAACTTATTGGACGATGGTGGTTGTCAACACCATCCACTGCGTACAAGGGAAACAACACGCGAAGCTCAAAGCGCCGAAATAAATAAAAACGCACCAGCAGTCATTAGGCAGCCCTAATGGGCGTGAATTAACTCAAAACCAGCCAGGGCACCAAAGTATACCGCCGCGGCAGCAGGTTCTAAGTAGCCACATTGTTCCTAAGAGTGGTCCGGACCACTCTTAGGATTTGCTCTCAGCCATGCTGTTTTTACGCACAATTTCGCTTCGTGAATCCACTTACGAGCACTTTTTGGGGACGTAAGCAAATATAGCAACTGCATCACCATCGCTGACATGTTGGATGGATGGATGGATATGGCTGTACCCTTTAGATCGGGCGGTGGCTAGCGCCACCAAGCCGTAATACCTAATGAACCAAAAACTATATTTATTTTTTTTTCCTTAAAAAGTGAGTTTGAGGATTCGTACTTTGCAGTGAAGAGTTTAATTTTCACTCGTGTCTTGACTTTAGCCACCAATCAGATAACCTCCTTCTGGTTAAGTCTACCCGCTTAAAGTTATTTTGCCCTCCCGGTCCCTAAACCCCAGTGCTTTGAAAAACTCTGCGCCATCATCCTGAACTATAGGGTGAAGCCCTTTACAGAACACTATCAAGTGTTCGGCAGTTTCTTCTTCCTCTCCACACGCACTGCATACTGTGTCTACCCCTTCGTATTTGGCTCGATATGTCTTGGTTCGCAGTACTCCCGTCCTGGCCTCAAACAGTAGAGAACTACCCCGAGTATTATCATAGATCCTTTCCTTGGCAATTTCCTGCTTAAAAGTTCGATAGATCTCTAGTGCGGACTTCTTAATCATGCCCATTCTCCATATGCCAGTCTCCGTTTCTTTCACTTTCTTCTTAACCGATAGTTCTTTTTGGTTTGGCCACCTGCTGTTTTCTAAGTATTTACCAGTCAACTTCCTGGTTCGCTTCCTCCATTTGGTATCGACATTCTTCATGTACAAGTAGCTGAAAACCTTCCTAGCCCAACGCTCTTCCCCCATTTCTCTCAATCGTTTCTCAAACTTTATCTTGCCATGTTCCCGGGCCGTCACAGCGCGCTTTATTTGCAGCGGCCGATGTGACAACGATGGCCTCTTACGACGTTTTTTCTTTTCATGAATCGACTTACGCAACAAAATTTCTCTTGCGCAAAAATGTTTTCGTAAGTGAGCTTTGTGAATCCGGCCCCAGAGCTTTGGTGTCCGCGTTATGTCTCCCTCTATTGGTGGGATGAATGCCAAAAACACTGGTCGGTGCCGGTGAAAGTCGAAAACTGAAACCGCGTGTGGTTTTTCAGGCTTCATCAAGTTTGGTTAATAATAAAACAAATAACTTAGTGGTCGTTTTAGACAGTCAGTCAGTCAGTCAAGAACTTTAATATATGGTCCTGAGGAGTTTAAGCCACCAGGGTGCCCACGTGGGACATCCTAGCAGCCGCTACCGTAGGCGACGCCCGAGTCGGGGCGGGAACGTGGTGGCGTTCCGCCAGTTCTTGGGCCCTCTGGACTGCCTTATCGATCACTTCAGTTTTTAGTGGGCCTATAGAATCTCTCTGGCAAGAGTAGAATCTTCTCAGGGAATTCAGTTGAGTTGATTTAATTTATTTAACTACATGACAAATACACGAAAAACACAATGTATACGTGCTTAGGTGCGAAGGGCAAAAATCTTTATGACGCGCACACACTTTTTTGTTGTTCTCGTGAGTGGCGGCAGACGCTGTTGTCGCGTTTCTCCGCCGTTTCCAGGCAGGCTTGCAGGCAAGCAAACACACCGCCGGCCGCGCCACTGGGCGCCTATTTGAAAGCATGAGACAAAAAAAGCAAAAATGGATCTTTGGCCCAACCTAAAGCTGTCTCAAGTGCATAAAATACAATTTCAAGTGAAATGTGCTTGCTATTAAGCGGAAAAATTCTACCTGCTTTAATTTCTTGTCTTACCAATAGATTGTCAAGATTGACCGTATTCACTGTTGGGTGATGCTAGTAGTCACTTCTCATCTCCTTCCAACATGAAGTTAATATTATAATGCGTTTTTTTTCTGGCATATAAGCAAGGTCGTTGCCCCCGATTTTATGAACGAACTTTTCATTTGCGCCACATTCGAAAAATTTTTACCTGTGGTAGAGAATCTCTTTATTTCTTGGACAACTACTAGCAGACAGACCAAATATTTGCGTTGATGCATATCAAGAAGGGTTATCGTCTTTGAAAACAAAGTGGCATTGCCCTCGTACATAAGAATGGCCGCTAACTACTTTATGTAACTGCCATGGTAATAGCGCATCGTAGCAACATACACACAAAGAAGCGATCACATACTCATATGATCGCATCGTACTCACCTGATCACATATGAGTATATGATCATATGCGTAGGTGAACTCATCAGATCACTAGCGAGAACGCACAATCACACGCACACACGCAGAATTTCAAGTCTTGGACATGGTCGATTTCTACTCCAGCAGCATAAAGGCTATTGAATTGAGATTGCACAACGTGTACTGGTTGGAAGCCATAAAATTTAGAATAACTGTTGCTTTCTACTCATCAAAGTATGTCGTTCTATTTGCTTCTATGTACCATCAGGTAACGGGGAACTTCTTTGTCAATAAAACTAAATTTTGTAATATATTGCTTGAGAGTCTCGCGATTACGGCAATTATACTTCAGCATGTAAGAAAGCAACGTAGGCGAATTTGTATTAGTTAAAAACGCTGAGAATGTTTTCCTGGTTAGTAGCGGCTAAAGTAACAAGGTTTACTAGCTATTAGTAAGTAAAGGTGTGCCGGAACGGCAGTAAAATACGGTGGAGTCTAGCAAATACACGGGTTTACTAGTTTGCAAACTTTTATTTTTCCGTAGTGTTCGACACGAAGGCGGAGGTCCTGTTCTTTGGGGCTCTAGTTTGAAGGCCGTGCAAGCTGCTTGCACTTGAGGACAGGGTCGGTTGCTTTTAGAGCGGCTGCATACGTGGCCACCAAGGAAGCATGGCCTTCGTCGACGAGCATGTGTATGTAGATGCCAAGAAGTTCACTGAACGCCTCAGTGCTGGTCTTGGCGCCAATTTTGTCGCAGCAACAGTGCCATGTGAACCAGAAACCGAATGGTCAGAAGCGGCGTTTTATCCACCTGACGAATTACCCAGTAGTGTATTTCTTCTATCAAATCATCAGCATCGCCAAGCACTACACCTCGCTGCACGATGTGTGCGATCTCTTGGTGTCGCTTGCCCCTCGTGCCCACAGCCTCCCGCAGGTCACGGAAAACGGTTTCAAAGGTTCCAAGGTCACTGGGGTAGCCGGGCGGTTGTGGTCCGAGGCTTCTATCTTGCTGCTTGGCAGTGCGGAGCTCCTGCTCTACGCACACATCCACAACAGCGCGCATGCGAGCCCATAGCTGATCCTCCCATGTGGTACACGCGGGCAGCATTGCTTGTAGGTTGCCACTCAGAGCACCATACACAGCGCGCTTGTACAGCGAACACCTGGGACTGCACGCCGCTCTCCAGCAGGCTCGCATCCATAAGTCCCGGTAGAAGGTGCCTTGGGCGGGTTGCTTGAAGCCAGCACCAACGGTGCTTGCGTTGTGCAGGTCATGGCATGGCCTGCATTCTTCGATCACGGCGGCTAGCCAACGATAACCGTTGTCGGCAGCCAGCTCTTTGGCCCTCTGCAGTTGGCCTGCTCGCAGGTGGAAGAAAACGCTGCGGAAGAAGAGGAATTCGTGGATCGGTACCCACCGCCTCGAGGGTGCGCCCGCGTCCAGTTCAGTCACGTGAGACGACGATGCACTACCGATGTTATTGTGGGACTGCGCATGGTGCAGTGTGTTTGTCCAGCTGCCGCTTCCGCCAGCTGGACACTGTCCAGCTGCAGCTTCCACCAGCTGGAAGTACTGGAGCCTGTCGTCGTGATCGCCCATACCGCTCTGATGCGCCGCGCAGCGTTCCAGCCAGTCGACTACTAAATGCGCCTGGCGTGTGAAGGAGTCTCTCGCCATGAGGGCCTCCACAATTTTCCTGTCGCTACCTTTGCGAGATCCGTCGACGAACATGGTTCTGTTGCCGCGTTCTTTCATGAACTCGTCCGCCTTGAGGTGGTCGTGCAGGAGGGCACCCGTGAGCTTCCAAGTGTCTCGCTCATCGGTGAGCAATGTTTGGCACGCGATGGCTTCTATCCACGCCGGTGTGGCCTTGCGAGAGACTAGGCTCTCGGTCACTTTCATCACTTCGGCTAAGTAACTGTCGCACAGGCTAGCGTACTTCTCAACAAGCGTGACGACGTCCTCCCTACTAGTATGAGCATTGTAGGCTTTCATGAAGTCCATATATATGGTGGCAGTAACTACGGCTGCGGGATTTTCGGTGGCTAGCACTATGGACGCGCTAAGGGTGGTCATGTCGGCGGCTTTCAAGTTAGCACTTACATTGCCGGTGCCACGCAAAGGCCTGCGGCCACCAGGCGTTGTGAAGTCTGCCATGGATCCAGCCGCGAAGACGCTCGCAGTTCTGCTTGGGGTACTGGTTTACGAGGCTGCTAAATGCTTAAATCCTGCTGCTGCCGTGGAAAGGACGCCCTCCAGTTGCTGAAGCGGCTTCGGGATCGTAGATTGGTCACCGGCGTTATGGCTCGAGCTCCACAGCACGAGCTGGTCTTCGTCTACTTCCTGTCCACACATGGCGCAATCCCGTTGGATGGAATTCGCCGAGTAGTAGGCGAAACTTCCGGTATGTGTTTCGTGGTTGCCAGATTCGTTTTGATATGAGGTGTTTTCGCTTTCAGGGGGCGCTCCCTTGTGTACATGTAGAGTTACTGTTTATGCTTCAAAACGACCCAGAATTTTCGGGAATGCGTGGAGTGAATGGCTTTGGAGTGAATTTAACATGAAATAACCATTAATGAGTCACTAGTGACACAATGTGACTTGCGCTACTTTTTCACGCCTATCACCCGCGTAAGCACTATTCACACTTTCGACGTGCATATCAAAGGAAACGCCGTCCACACAGTAATAACTTGATACTTATTAACCAGGCCAATGATCTCATCACGAGTGACTTGGGTGACGTCCTCACGCATATCACCCGCGCACGCACTGTCATAACCTTCCGTCATGCATATCAAATGAAACGTCTTTGAAAGGGCAGGATCTTGATACCTAAAACTCGGCCAAGCCACCGGATCACCAGTGACTCAGGGGACGTCACCACCCTTATCACCCGCGCACGTAATTTACTCGCCTGCCGATATGCATACCAAACGAAAGAGCAATAACGTGTTACCTATTACTCGGCCAACTGACTTGATCACTTGTGACTTAGGTGACGTCTTCACGCCTATCACCCACGCACGCAATGTCTAACCTGCCATCTTGTATACCAAACGAAACATCTTTGAGAGGCTAGTAAATTGAACGCTGTCAATAGGCCTAGTGACGCCATCACTAGTGACTCGCGTGACGTCATCTCACCTATGACTCACGCAAGCACTCTAATATACCTAATTGCATTTCAAACAAAATGTCTTTCAGAGGGTAATAACTTGAACGATGTTACTAGGCCTAGTGACGTCATCACTAGTGACTCACTTGACGTCATTACGCCTATTACACACGCCCGTGGTGTCCTAACTTGTCTTCGTGCATAATAAAAGAAGTGTCTTTGAGAGAGTAATACGTTCAACGCTGTCATTAGGCCTTGTGACGTCATCACTAGTGACTCACGTGACGTCATCACGCCCATCACACAAGCACGCTGTGTCCTAACCTGTCTTCATGCATATCAAATGAAACGTCTTTGAGAGAATAACTACAACGCTGTCACAAGGTTCAGTGACGTCATCACTAGTGACTAGCGTGACGTCATCTCACATAAGACTCACGCAAGCACTCTCTAATGTGCATTCATGCATATCAATCAAATGTCTTTCAGAGGGTAATAACGCGAACGATGTTACTAGGCCTAGTGACGTCAATACTAGTGACTCACGTGACGTCATTACGCCTATCACACACGCACGTGGTGTGCTAACCTGTCTTCATGCATATCAAACGAAACGTCTTTAAGAGAGCAATAGCTTCAACGCTGTCGTTAGGCCTAGTGGTGTCATCACTAGTGACTTGCGTGACGTCATCACGCCTATCACACACGCACGCGGTGTCCTTACCTGTCTTCATGCATTTCAAACGAAACGTCTTTGAGAGAGTAATAACTTGAACGCTATCGCAAGGTCCAGTGAAGTCATCACTAGTGACTTGCGTGACGTCATCTCACCTAAGACTCACGCAAGCACTCTCTAATGTGCCTTCATGCATATCAAACAAAATGTCTTTGAAAGGGTAATAACTTGAATGCTGTCACCAGGCCTAGTGACGTCATCACTAGTGACTCACGTGACATCCTTACGCCTATCACACACGTTCGTGGTGTCCTAACCTGTCTTCAAGCATATCCAACGAAACGTCTTTGAGAGAGTAATAACTTGAACGCTGTCACAAGGTCCAGTGACGTCATCACTAGTGACTAGCGTGACGTCATTTCACGTAAGACTCACGCAAGCGCTCTCTAATGTGCCTTCATGCATATCAAGCAAAACTTCTTTAAAAGGGTAATAACTAGAACGATGTCACCAGGTCTAGGGACGTCATCACTAGTGACTCCTGTGACGTCATTACGCCTATCACACACGCACGTGGTGTCTTAACCTGTCTTCATGCATATCAAATGAAACGTCTTTGATAGAGTAATAACTTGAACGCCGTCACAAGGTCTAGTAACGTCATGACTAGTGACTAACGTGAGGTCATCTCGCCTAAGACACACGCAAGCACTCTGTAACCTGCCTTCATACATATCAAACGAAACGTCTTTGAGAGAGTAATATCTCGAATGCTCTCACTAGGCCTAGCGACTTGATTACTAGTGACTCATGTGACGTCATCACGTCTATCACACACGCACGCGCTGTCCTAACCTGTCTTTATGCATATCAAACGAAACGTATGTGAGAAAGCAATATTGTCATACTTATGACTGGGTCAACCGACTTGATCACTAGTGACATACGTGACGTCATCACGACTAACACTCATGCAAGCACTCTCTAACGTGTGTTCATGAATATCAAACGAAACGTCATTGAGATAACATCAACTTGAAGGCCGTTGCAGGCAGCGTCTGCTTGTAAAAAACTTACTTCTCGCGCTGCACAGCCGTTCACCGGCTAACCGGTATATGTAGGCACCAGATCGCGCGTTTCGAATTCTGTCAAAAGCGTCTTTACATGGCTTTTGTTTGACTTGACGCTTTTCTTGACTCGAGTAGAGGCGATGCAAGCAACAGTACCTTCAAGCAGCACTGGGGTACAACCCAACATCAGCGTCCCACTACTCGTTGATGGCAACGGTTCTCCTTCATTCAATAAGTAGGAATAATAAAGGCAAAATGACAATTAAGCATTTTCCAAACAATACTCCATTACGCAACATTCAACTGATACCCTGACCTCTCTGCGACGCATTTACTCCAGGTCGTCGTGTGGGAAGATGTAGGCGGCTTTTTTGTGGCTTCTCGTGTTTCGAAGTATGCCTTGAAAATGCGGGCAGCTAGGCCGCACTACTGTGAAAGGACAGGCGTTCTACACTAAACAGGCACGCTTATTCCAAGCTAACCTATAACTAACTTATAAGAAACGGCGTGGCGTAGAATGTAGAAAGGAAGGCACGTGTCAGACACAGCATTCAATGGCGCATCAGCAAATGGTCACTTGCAAATAGCAATAGTATATATCTTAAATATGGGGAATGCCCTCTGTTACAACGGATTTGTTTTACAGGATAAATAGATGAAATATTAGTTGGGCCGAAGAAGAGGTAGACAAATTTTTTTAGCAAGTTTTGGAGCAGGCAGACCATGCTTCTTATGCCTGATTACGGATATACAGTGTTATGACTGGAGGCCGTATTATATGCAAATGTCTGTTTTGTTTCTTGCGTTCCTATCGTGACATTTTGACACATGAGCCAAAATTAGAGGGCAATGAGGTCTTTGATAGTGCTTTTATAGTGCCTATATATGCCTATTTCGTTTGTTGTAGCCTCAATTCGTATAGGTGCCTGTAAATGCCTGTTTTCAAAATCGATGCCTATATAAACGCTAATTAACCTGAAATTTCGCTTTCAAGTACCGCTGGAGCCCGGTATTCATGATACCCGGCAAAATATAGATTTCGGCACACTGTGGGGGGCACACTACACTATATTTCACGAGTTACTTTAAGAACTGTCAAGCCCAGAAGGCCAAAAGAAAGGTCGATTTTTCTCTACACATGTATACCATGTATCTCGAAGCGCTTCTTTTTTGCGATGTTGTTGTACATTATTTTCGTTTTCTGCAGATTCATTTTAAGACCCAACTTTCTGCTCTCCTTGTCTAACTCTGTAATCATGAGTTGCAATTCGTCCCCTGAGTTACTCAGCAATGCAATGTCATCGGCGAAGCGCAGGTTACTAAGGTACTCTCCATTAACTTTTATCCCTAAGTGTTCCCATTCTAGGCTTCTGAAAACCTCCTGTAAGCACGCGGTAAATAGCATTGGGGAGATTGTGTCCCCCTGCCTTACACCCTTCTTGATTGGTATTCTGTTGCTTTCTTTATGAAGCACTATGGTAGCAGTTGATCCCCTGTAGATTTCTTCCAGGATGCTTATATATACTTCATCGACGCCCTGATTCCGCAGTGCCTGCATGACGGCTGATATTTCTACTGAATCAAACGCCGTCTCGTACTCTATGAAGGCTATGTATAGTGGTTGGTTATATTCTGAGCATTTCTCTATTACCTGATTGATAGTATGAATGTGGTCGATTGTTGAGTAGCCTGTTCGAAATCCTTCTTGTTTCTTTGGTTGATTGAATTCTAATGTTTTTTTTACTCTGTTAGCCATTACCTTTGTAAATGGCTTGTAGACTACAGAGAGCAAGCTAATCGGCCTGTAATTCTTCAAGTCCTTGTCATCTCCTTTTTTATGTATTAAGATGATGTTAGCGTTTTCCCAAGACTCTGGTACTCTTCCCGTCAGGAGACACTTCGTAAACAGGGTGGCTAGTTTTGCTAACACAATCTGTCCTCCATCTTTCAGCAGATCTGATGTTACCTGATCCTCACCAGCAGCTTTGCCTCTTTGCATGCTCTCCAAAGCTTTTCTGACTTCTTCTATCATTACTTGTGGGGTGTCATCTGGGTTACTGCTAGTTCTTATAGTATTAAAGTCGTGGTTGTCCCGGCTACTGTACAGATTTCTGTAAAACTCCTCTGCTATATTAACTACCCTATCCATATTGGTAGTTATTTTGCCTTCTTTGTCCCTTAGTGCACACATCCGATTTTTGCCTTGTAAAAACTTGTAAAAACTTGTAAAAACTTGTAAAGTTGTAAAAGACTACCTCTACTTAGGGCAGGTAATAACCGCGGAGCCGAACCA